CAGGATATCTGATGTGTAACCCCAAAAAGAGTTGAGAGTTACAGATTGAGAACTGTTAACATAGAATAAACTTCAACAAATTGAAAACACTTAAAACTTGGAGTGTGATCCTTGAGGAATAGATTCAAATGAGAAATCTATGTATTTCAACCATGCTCCAGCAGAAGGCCACGCATCAGTGAATATTTAAGCAGTAGAACAAATTGGACTTAAAGTGTAAAAATAAGACACAAAAGTTGGGTAGACCGGGAGGGATTAGGAATGAGGATGAATGTGGTCCGAACTCTTTGTATGAAATTATCAAAGAATAAAAAATGGAGAAACTCCAAGTACTTGGAAATTCAGAACCTCAGAGCTAATAGGAAATCTTAAGGGGAATATAAAAGTATACTGAATGAGATGAAATGAAAATACAACACAGGAAAGTTTTTTGAGACACAGCAAGAATAGTGCTGGTGGAAAATTACAGCATAAACTAGTCTTAAAAAAGAATATTAATTTTCCATCACTGACACTGGTACCTCAGAAATCTAAAACAAGAAAGGGGAAATACACCCAAAGTGAAAAGGAAGGAGATAATAAAGAGCAGAAAGAAATGGAGATGACATAACCTATGAGCATCAGGAACAAAGCCGTGGATATTACCTCAGAGCCATTAGACACCAGAAGGATTAGCAAGAGGCGTGTGGATGATGGAGCACACTTGACTGCGCTCACAGAAGAGATGAGCTGACTTCTCAGAAAACAGATGTTGTAAAGCACCTCCATGAAATTTGGCAGACTCCGTTACTGGTTGAATTTGTAAAGGCCTATAACCCTTAAGGAAATTAAATTTGTAATTTCATGAGTCTTCAAAAGGAAATTTCAGTCCCAGATATTATTATTGAAGATTTCTTCCAAACATTAATAGCTAAACTTCATTTCCAAAACAATTATCACATGCCTTTTAGAGAAGAAAAACAATCAAATTCCATTTCACTTTATGAAACCACTATTACCCCTTTATGCTATAATATAGATGAGACTATAATTGCATTCATATGCGAAATAAAGTAACTAGAAAGGAAGAATGTATTAGAAGGAGTGAACACACCAGTTCTGTGATTCATGAGATACTGAATAGTATGAATTGTTAGTAGAAGGGCCAACACACAGATCAGTTGGTCAGAATAGCATAGCCCAAACACAAATCACCAAAAACTGACACACCTGATTTTGACTAAGATTCTAAAGTACTTTGATGTAATAAAGGCAGCCTTGTTAGGAAATAATACTGGTGCAATTAGATATTCACAGGTACAAAAATAAAAATTTTAATTGACCCATGAAAAATTAAATGAAAGTAAGTCCTCGGTGGAACTATAAAAGAGGGTATAAAATTCTTCTCGTGAGAGAAATGTTTTGTTGTCCTATGAATAGCCAAAAAGGCCTTAGACATGGTACCAAAGCCATGATTTGTAAGAGAAAAACATGACAGACTATATTTCTTTACAATGGAAAGCGTTTTGCTGTGCAAGAAATAGAAGTCAAAAAATGGACTTTTATAGAATTAAACAGCTGCTTTGAAAAAGACAATAAGACATGGAAGTGGGTAGAATATTTATAAACCAGTTTGAACAGAGGAATGGTAGATGATGTGCATTCACTAAAGTTGCCAAAGGAAAACAATGTCTTACCTACCCTCAGAAGCTGTCACCTGCCAACAGCTCCTAAGTGGTGAGGTCTCAGTCAGTTTGATTCAGTAGTGTGGGCCATGCATAGGTTGTCCACACCTCAGCTGCTGATCATTTATTCATGTGCATATAGACAGCACTAATTGTAATCTCAGGGTATTGTGAGGAAGAAAAAGGAAGGAAAGAGGAAGAAGAAATGAACTTAGGAGGAGGATGATATAAGGGTGGAAATCCCTCAGGAGATAGAGAATGGAGTGAGTTGGGTATGTTCTACATTCACTGTACTCATATATGAAATTACCTGTAGCACAATTAATAAAAATCCAGAGACATATAAAGGGGTTCAACCTGAAGTTCAGAAGAGCCAAACAGCCAGACACTGGCTCTTACCTCTACCTCAGTGCAAAATGTTGAGTCTGCCTCCAGGAATCTTCAGATTGAGACTGTGTGTGAGAGGTGTCTCCTCCCATATTATATGCCTCTCTAGAGCTGGGGTTAAAGGTGTGCACCACTACTCCCTGGTTTCTGTGGAAAATTAGTGTGGCTACTGGGAATAAAGGTATGTGTCACCACTGCCTGGTCTGTGAGGCTGACCAGTGGGGCCGTTTTACTCTCTGATCTTCAGGCAAGCTTTATTTATTAAACTACAAATGAAATATCACTACAATTACTGAAGAATATGTAAGCTGAAGAAACAGAAAGAAATACAGGAAAAAAAACTTTACTAGTAAACAAAACAAAATCAATCCAAACTATAACATGCATCAAGGAAAGTAAAACATATTACTGAACAATACACTTAAAATTTCAATCTCATTAGTCATTAGAGAAATGTAAACTGAGATTGCAGTGAAAGATCATTCACACTTTCAGAATGTCTAAAGTGAGGGAAAATGACACCAAATGTTGCTCTAATTGATATTTAGAAAATCACTTATTCATCATTAGTAAGGGTAAAAAGGTAGCACCTTTCTGGAAGATAGTTTGGAAATTTCCTAAAAAGCTGAATATGCAACTAGCATATGGACATTTCCCTAAAAAGTTTCCAATGTATACTGACACAGAATCCTATGAACATATGCTTATAGAATCCATGGAGTAATAGCCTAATACCAATGGCTACACATATGTTGTCAACAAGTGATGATTAATTCGTGGTATATCTATGCCATGGCATTTACTGAGCAATAAAAAGAATAAATTATTGATACATGAGACTCTTATTGAATCTCCAGATAATTGTGCTAAATGAAAAGCTTGTGTACCAGATGATTCTATTTATAGCATGGTTCAGGTCTTGTTTCTGCAGCAATTTCTAGTAGAGTCTGCTTCACAGTACATCCCTAGATACCCTGGCTCTTACACTATGTCTGCCTCCTTTTCTGGGACATTCTCTGAGGCATAGATGCAGGCACTGTGACAAAGATATATCTGTTGTTCTTATGCTCCTCACAATCCTTTAATTTGGGGGAGCCTAACATGCTCCCCAAGTATGGTTTTCTGTGATGTTCTCCATTTGCTGTAAAGAAAAGAGAAGCCTCTTTGATGATGGATTGTAGGTAGAAAAGATGTAAAATGCTTGTCTAGCAAAGTGGTGAGAGTGGAAATCCAATAAAAATAGGCAAAAATAGGCTATCAACCCGAGAGTGACAGGGTGCAGGAGAGGTTGAGCGAGCTGAGAGGGGCTGGAGGAGATGAAAGGGATGGGGAAAGAAAGTGTTATAATTCAATTCAAATTAACACATAAAAAAATTTAAAAGGACAAGAAGTAGAGTGGAAGTGGGCAGACATAGGAGAATTGAGGTGTGAACATGATCAGTATATTGTATAAAATTCTCTAAGGATTAATAAATTTTTTAAAAAAGAATTACAGTTAAGAAGAAAGGGGGACATTTATGCAAGAAGTCCCTGCAAGTATCTTCCTTCCCCTGGAAAGTCAGTCAACACCTTGGGTCGGGGAGTGTGAGGTCAGAGTCCTGAGAAGCAAGGTTGCCTATCAATATTCCTGAATTCTAGAGAGGCTGAATTCAAAAGCATTTCTGCTTTAGCCATTTTAGCTGTTGCTGTCCTTGCATCCTTCTGTGTGAGAAAAATTACAGTAAAGACCAGATAGCTGTTTCTTTTTCCATTTCTTTTTGTGAGTGGAGTAATTTAATGGATTGCAATTACAAAGCCAGAGAACCCCTAGAAATGTTGTACTGAAATCACCACTAAAAGGAACATTAAAACCCTGCAAGAAGGAAGGAAGGTAATTTTAGCCTTCCACTCAATAAGTGAAAAAGTAAGAAAGGAGAAAGGATGCAAAGATGATGAGAGCTGATTTTTAAGACCCTTGACCACATAGCCAGGAAAGATTTTTAGAACTGTACTCATTGAATAACAGGTACTGCCTCTTCCAGCTCTTGATGGTCTCAATTTTAATTTATGTCTTCAAATACATTTTTTCTAGGCATGCCCTGTTCGGGGAAGCACAGAATATCTGCCCTTTTGTATCAGGGTTCATCACATAGCATCCCTTCAAGTACTATCCATGTTGTAAATACAAATTTTTGAGTTGTGATTTCAAATTCTAGATGAACCATTTTTTCTTTAAAGAGACATTGTCAGAGTCATACCAACCTTTTTCTCTCACACATTTTGTTCCTCTCAGAGATGTTTTCTGGTCACTCTGTCCTGACTACCTCTGAGGCATTCTTTGGGGCTCAGCTTAGGAGACATTTCTTCAAAAAGACTTTTCTCAAACCCCCAAATCTGGTCAGGTCACACTGTTACATTTTCCCATTGTATAATTCTCAGCTGATCTCTTGTTTATGTAATTACTTTTGCTTTTCTTCCTGGAGCTGGCTTTTGGAGGCTACCAATTACATTCCCTATTCTTTTTTATGAAATGTCTGGAACTTAAACATTGCTGAGTGTCACTGACACTTCAAATATTTCTCGTTGTCTGTGGTGTAGAAGAACAGTTATCTAAAGCAGTGAGAGTGGTCCAAAAACTTAGGCTTTGTAATTCCCAGCATTGGTATCAAGTGACTGCAATCTGAGGACATAATTTAAATGATCTAGCATTCTACTTCTGTAAGCATACCAAGGCTCCTTTAAAATAACAGTTTACTTATGTGCATATCATCATTATAGAAAAGTCTAATGTATGTGATCATTCTGACATTATACATGTGATAACCTTTAAACATGTTAGAATTAATTATTTCCCTTTAAGTCTAATGAAGGGAGTCATTTATTTAAGGATTTAAAAAATGACCCAGTGATTAAAGTGTGTATTTCACTAAACTATGCATTAATCCCTTTTTTTTCCTTTTGTCCCAATAGTCTTATTCCACATAAGATGATGCATGATTGGAAAGAACTCTTTTTTAGCGGGAAACCCATCTATGAACAGCCTTCTCTTAAAAATGGGATTACAGAACCCACTGAGGGACATCTTATAGAGCTGGACAAAAAGAACTTGCTTGATAAAAATGATTATGAAGAATATAAGGTACATACTAATATGGAATAATCTGAGTGAATCGAACACAATAAATTCTTTTCCTTAGTGTTAATTTGTGGTATTTTACTTGATTCCTATTAATGAAAACAGACATGTTATATTTGCATTTTCTCTTATATTAATTCATATATATTTATATATATACAACTAACTTTTACCTGTTCAAAATATTTATCATTGTTATCTACTGTTCACAGTAAACCGGAGCAGTCTAAAAATAATTAACTGTAATACATTGAGCAAACAAATGCCAGAAGGACACCTCACTAGAATTTTTCTTTTATGAGCTTTCTATCTTTGCTTCAAAAATCATTGTTAAAAGATCATTTCCAAAGCAATTTATCTCAGTAGTATCTAGTATTGCAGGCAAGATGGAAAGGAAGGGGATTATGAATTAGAGTGACATAAATTCATACAACATTTATGCAAATAACAAGAATATTGGATACAAATTGTATATTTTATCTATTTTTAGTTCTATTTTATTTAATGCTTAAATTATATGTATTTATGAAGTCCCCTGATAAATTGGTATAGGTATACATATAATGTATTGTTTATAACAATTTATGATATACTTTATATTGAGTTAAGAGAGGAGTTCAAAGAAATCATTTTTATTTCAAAGAAATGGAAATACTACCACTGCCTATTAGAAAGTTGTCTAGAAACCTTTGGGTAAAACAGCGGCATTGTCCATTGCTGACTATAGATATCAGGTATCTAATCCTTAAGCACTAAAGACATTTGGAACCTCAATTTATGAAATAATAATGTACCTATCTTATTTGGTAAATGTTGATGGTTTAGTCCAATGCATGGTGTATTGGATTTAAGTAATGCATACTCTTTTTTTTTTTACCATTCAACTCTCCACATCCCACTTCATCTCAGCCTTATAATGTTATAAAAGTGGTGGCTCTTGAATGCAGTTTCCGGGTAAATGCACAACCATGGAGTAAAGACTGAGAATATTATTGTTAGAATAGCACTGACTTCTAGAAGGTTAGCAAATACAGTATGAAAACAGGGATGAATGATGGGGGATTAGTCTTAGTCATTTACAAATAGTGAATAGTTATTAACATTTACTATAAAGATGAATGCAGAAAATGACTTCATGGCGATGACCAGGGAAATGAACAAAATAATACTGATGTGTAGATATTAAAAGAAGTTAAGACTCTGCTAAAAAAAATTAAGGAAACAATATCAGATTATGGGAAATTAAATGTAAACCTTATTTTAATTGCATGACCATATATATTTATTTCCTTGATAGGATTATTTATTTTGGATTGAGTAGAAACTTAAGAACTACATATAGATTTTATCTAGTTTGGCTGTGGAACTGTATGTGCACCTTATATGTCAACCCAAAAGATAATGTCTCGTGGGAAAAGATGTTATTTGATAAATATCAAACTATGTTAAGGTATTAATTCCCATTATAAATTAAGAAGTCCAATTAAAGCAGAGTCATGTGACAGTTTTTGGCTGATTCATAATTCAGTATTTTTTTTCTCGGTTATTTCTTGGAACAGTCTGGTTGACTCTGTTCTTTTTCTCATAACTCAGGAGACAGGTAGGCCACCACTATGAAGGCTCTGTGTTTCTAACTATTCTCATTGTTTGGGAAATGCTTACCACAGGAACAAGCTTGTCTTACCCACATCCTGAGGCCCCTGGCATGTTTGTTTGGCAGGAAATTGTCGAGTTTTGTTAGGACTGTGTGAACATCTGTAAGTCAGTGCAATTCTTTTTGTTTAGCGTCTTTGCTGTTTTTCTTTTAATGAAAATTCCCTTGCAATTTCCTACTTTATGCATTTTGTTCTTTTTAATTGCAGACTTAAATTAGGTCTTATGCAGATTGTCCAATAAACTGATTTTTTTAGTTATTGTTTACTATCATGAGTACTTTGTTCTTTTGAAGAACTTTATCTAAATATTCCTACATACAAGAAAATATTTCAACTCATAAAATGTGTTATCAATCTTGATATTCTATACAGAAGGATAGTTTATCCTGGTTTAGATCATAGACTAGTTGCTTGCCTATATTTGCTATTGCTAAATTTGTTCAGGATTTCTAATGCTAGAAGTTAAGGCAGATCTTCAGAAGCATTGGCATTCTTGGCATGCTTTATTGATATCCATACTTTCTGTCCCTGAAGAACTGACATCATCCATGTTTGAGCTCAGGGCCCTAAGAACTCATACTCTCCTTGGTAACCTACCATCATGATCTATTTCTAGAATGGCTACTTGTAAAGAAGTGCTAGCAAATAACTAATGTTGCTAGAAATCTTCCTATCTGCTGAGAAGGAAGGGCATCATGAAACAGCCATCCCTAGGGCAGAGGGCGTCCCAGGCCATTGCAATAGGCTTAAGAGACTGAGTTATTTAGCAAAAAGAAGGAAGGAGCTCTTAAGACCCAACAGACATTGGGAGTGTCTCAACCAGGTACCAGGTATTCACCCAACCCTTCCAGAATAACCACTAGCACAGTCACAGAGAGCAGACAGACCCATGATTCATCCTGCTGAATTTGTGACCCTCCCAAATCCCAAATGATGTCCTCTCTATGGTTCTGACTGGGAACAGTCTTCTTGCACAGCATCTTACTAACAATTGCCTACTGACTGAGTTTAGGAGTTATAACTGTCAGTTTCGACATCCATTGAGTCTGCATCTGCAGAGTCAACTATTCACTGCACCACGAATAATTTACATTTCCAGATCACTGAGAACAAAAAAGGATGGAATAAGTTAAAGACCAAAGTGTTGGCTACCTATAATCTTGAATCTAGTAAAAATACTCTTCAATTCACTATGGAATTCCAGGTAGCAAGTGAGACAGTTGCTACTTCAGTTTTTCCTTTGTGACTGACTATGGGGCCAAGTTTGTGTTTCCTGGCAGTAGATTCCAACTTCACCCTGGAGGTACATCCCTTCTGCCAACCTCAGACTCCTCTGGAATTTAAAGGCCAGACTGTCCAGGAAATACCCAACCACACCCATCCGTGATTAGAAATCAAGCAACATATCAAAGCTGCCAGGCTCCCTTCCCTGAGTAAATGCAACATTTAAAACTGTTCTGAAACCTCCAATACAGAGCCCATTCCATAAGAGTTCTTTTGTAAAATTGCAGGCATGTTAATCACCTTCTTCTTTCTGCCACCTTCTCAAATGCACTTACCCCACTGATACCTGGTTATTAAACCATTCCCATACAGTGTTCCAGAAGTCCCGTGTGGCTATCAGATCCCATGAGCTGAATAAGCAGTTAGGGAAGATAAATAAACACCCTTTCTGCTTTTCCTGACAATCCTGTGTCATTCGCATGAACTTGAGTTGTGCAACACCTATAGAGCCTCAGGATTCTGGAGTAGTTGGGAGAAAGGAGGCATGGAGAGAGATGACCATGACAGCAAAAGAGGGACTAATACCTTCATTCTTGCCCCGCTTCTTTGTGAAACATGGCTTTCCCTCTGGAAAGCCAAAGTTCCCAAATGCAATGACTGGAATATTGGGTCCAGAACTTGTAGTTTAGAGCAGCAAGAGGTGTGTTTCATCACATTTAATGCTCTCTGTACACCAAGCCCTACTGCAAGAAGGTCAGCAAAGAGATCTGGGGCAAGGATTTGTTGAGATTTCAGACCTAGAAGCAAGATGTCTGAAACTGTTTCTCAAGAGACCAGAAACATGAAGGGGCAGAGGTGGGATGGAGCTAAGTCCTTTGCAGTTAGCTGGTGGGCAAAGTAAGCTGGGTCAAAACGAGGTTAGAAAATGAAAATGAAGCTGGCATGGAAGAGGACTTAGAGGCTTGGGAGCACGGTAGCTGATTGCTCTAATTATCTGGAGTGTCTACAGCTGATTTGCACGTACTTGGTCATCAGATACCTTCTTTAAACTAGTTTAGCAGCCCTGAGGGAAATTCCCTTATAGGAGTCTGACATAGACCAACCAGTTCACATACAACTTCTTCCACAGGAAGATCTTACCTAATCCCTCTCCTGGACCCTTGGCTCAGCCCTGGTGCTTAGACCTTCCCACCTTTCCAGCTTGTGATTACCTCAGTCCTGACACCTCTTACGTCTTCTCTGGCATCTTCGGTGTACTCACTTGAGTTTCTGATGGATGATGTTTGACCGATTCTGCTGTACAAGTGAAGCAGGGCAGTTTCTGAGTGTGGACTTCCTCAGGGAAAAATGTTTACAGCCCTAGGTTTAGGCTGATGCTAACGCAGGTGACACTGGATTTCCTTTGCCTTAAGTGATGGTCCCTATTCGTCTGTTTTATTTGAGGATCCTCCTTTGTTAAAAATTAAAACCTTTTAGCTATCATCTTTCTGAGTAAAATAAAATTAAAAACTGAATTATTCATATTCACTCTTATATTTAAAGGTGGCTTTATCTTTTCTTTTCCTTCTTATACCTGTGGTGGTTTAAGATGTCACACATTAATAAGTTATTTACATTTTTTTTCATTTTTTTCTTTTTTCTTTCTTTCTTTCTTTCTTTCTTTTTTTCTTTATTTATTAAAGATTTCTGTCTCTTCCCCTCTTCCGCCTCCCCTTTCCCTCCCCCTCCCCCAATCAAGTCCCCCTTCCTCGTCAGCCCAAAGAGCAATCAGGGTTCCCTGCCCTGTGGGAAGTCCAAGGACCACCCACCTCCATCCAGGTCTAGTAAGGTGAGCATCCAAACTGCCTAGGCTCCCACAAATTCAGCCCTACAGAAAGTAATAGAAGTTATTTACATTTATTTCATTTTAAAAGAAATGCTTTGTGCTGCCATTCAAAAGCATTTCTTCAGCTTAATGGAGGTGATTGCCTAAAGAAATGGTCTATTTCTTTATTATCTATTTGCAAAAAGCAAAATTTTATTGATACAGTTTAGGAAATGGGAAACTCTAAGAACAAACTGCAGGTAGATTTGGTGTCTGGTGAGTGTCCAGTACCCACTTCCAACATACCATTGATAATTCTG